ACCATCAACAGTGTGAAGAGACAATCCACAATGTGGGAAAAAATTTTCGCCAGGTGTCCCTCAGACAAAGGTCTACTATCTCACATCTATAAAGAACTTTAAAAAATCAGACCTCCCAGATTTAAAGACCCAATCTGAAAATTGGCATCTGAAATGAACAGACATTTCTCAGACAAAGAAGTAGAAAAAGCAAATAAATATATGAAAAAATGTTCAACATCACTGTTCATTTGAGAGATGCAAATGAAAACAACACAGAGATTCTACCTCACTCCAGAAAGAATGGCTGCTATTATGAAATCAATCAGTAACAAATGCTGGCGGGGCTGTGGGGAAAGAGGAACCCTACTCCACTGCTGGTGGGAGTATAAACTGGTACAGCCACTGTGGAAATCAGTATGGAGATACCTCAAAGAACTAGAACTGGGAGTCCCATTTGACCCGGCTATTTCCCTTCTGGGTATCTTCCCTAAAGAATCATACCACAGTGATACATGTGCCCGCATGTTCCTAGTAGCATTGTTTGTAATAGCTAAAACTTGGAAATAGCCCATTTGCCCATCAATTGGAGACTGGATAAAGAAAATGTGGTGTATTTTTTTTTTTAATAAAATGGAGTATTACTCAGGCATAAAGAATGAGAAACTAGAGACATTTGTAGCTAAATGGATGGACATTGAGGTGATACTCTTAAGTGAAATAAATAGGACACACATGTAAATACCGAATAGTTTCTCTAGTGTGAGAAACTGAAAGTGTAAATAAGGACTAAAATGTATAATAGATAATGTGAAATAGGAATAAAAGGTGCAAAAGGGAAGAGGAAGTGGGAAGGGTAGGCAAAAAGAAAGAAGGGAATGGAATTAATGTGAGAAAAGAATAAAACAGAAACAAAGTCTTTGTAGATAGGGAGGGATGGAGGGGTTAAAGGGAGGGCAGGGGAATGGGGAAAAAATAAGAACCAAGATGGATTATGTAAAGGTGCAAATTTCCAATAATGAATGTCATTATATTATATACCTAAAATGTACCAATACAATTAAGAAAAATAAAAAAAGAACTAGTCTCAGCCAGTGGTCTTGTCCTCAAGTTCTCATGAATGTGAGATTTTCCAGAAACTAAACAATGAGACTCTCTCCCCTTCCATATTAGTGGACAGGCTCATGAGACCTCCTGTTTTATGACTGTGGCATAATCTAGTGTAAAGCACTACTTTCTTTAAAACTTATCCCTCATATGATACAAAAACTCCTACCCCTGCCACCTCCATCTTCCTTGTGGCTGAAATTACTTCACAGGAAACTTACCCCCTTGAAAGGAGTGGATTTTGTGTTCTGAGTAGATGGGAAATGTGTGGACATCTGGATTTATTTGCTGTTTGGTGATTCCAATAGTTATTCCTGGTTACTCTTAATTACACCATTGGTTTCCCCCCTTGTCCTATGTAGTCACTGAAAAGAAGAGGACAAAGCCTTCCTGAGTGCTAGAGACCCAGACCCTCATACCCTTTAGAGGGTTAGGGGCAGTTTTGTCAGTCTGATCCCAAGACAACTTTACTGAGCTTGAAGTCTTTCTAGGGTGAAAAATTTAAAAGACAATTAATTTATGCTACTTGCTGTTCTTCAAAGAGAATCAGATCTTAATGTTTCATATTTTGAGTTTTCAGTCTTTTGTCCAAGACTTATTTGATAATTTTACAAACCTGTAAAGGTAAATTATACCAAAGATTGAGGGGAGGTGTTTTTAGAGGAAAATATATTGATGTGGCATTATAAGGCTGATGAAAAATTTGTTTTGAGTTACTCTGCTAAAGATATAGAAATGGGTTATCTGAATAAAAGACATGTTTCAAAATCATTTATGTAATAAAATGGCTAGAGACCTAATCAAAATAAGTGGAACAAAAACAGAAGGGTAAACTGGGGAGAAGGGACTTTTTAGAACTTACGTATATTAAAGTTTGAGGAAACTTAGGGGCCACCCTTAGAGGTGGGGTATTTTGAGAAGATGGAAGCAGCAGGCCTCAACTCTTTTATCAAGCAACTTTAGCCAAGTCAGCAGCAGGTATATTGAGGGGTGGTTTTAAAATGTGTTTGTACAGTAAACAAGAGCCATTCAATAAATAGAGCTGCATAGCTGCAAGGCCATCATGTTTATGTCCTGCTACCAGAAACTCTTTTGGAAGTTTGAACAAAAGCAAACAAATGACAAAGCTGTGTATGTTTTTTTTCTCCATGCCACTGGAATAGAAAGTAATCTTCCACCTTATGAAATAGCTGTTAGCTCTGAGATGACTTTCAGCTTCATAAATCCCACACTGAAACTGAATTGCACCCAACAGTTGGAAGTTGACCAACAGAAAAATCTGGTAGGTCCCAGTAAAGGCACATGAAGCTTTGTTTCTTCCAAAATACACAAATTTTGCAGTGGAGGCACAAGAGAGGAAAGAGGCAGTCAGTTCTACAGTGGAATTAGGTGACAAAGCCTTACAGAGAGGGTGACCCTTAAACAGAGCTTGGATCAAAGAGTGGATATTTGCTAGGACTTAGTGCAGACATCTGGTACAACCCAGAAAGCATGCATAAGTACTAAGGCCAGAGCATGTTGGAATGACACAGGCTGGTGAGCTGGCAACTGTGAGCAGTTTGGTATGGCTGGTTTGAATTTTAGATGCCAGGAATGGGGCAGGGCACAATGAAATGGAAGCTGGATGGAAAGCAGGCCTAGATCATAGATGTCCTTGTCTTATAAAGAGTTTGCACTTTCATTTATTCAATAAATGCATACATAGAGAGCCTACTAAATGCGAGCCTTCTGGGAGACACACTTTATTTTTTTATTCTCATGGAGCTTTCAGTACATAAAGGATAGGCAGACATTAAGACAATAATCACAGAAATAATAATTTAATTTTACTTATGGTTAGCTCTTCTATGTGAAGGGCAATGCTGTGTAATGAGAGACTTTATAATAGGGAAAACTGTAGTCCAAGTAGATTTCCCTGAGGAAATGATAATAGAGTTGAAACCTAAGTAGGAGATAGTTAAGGAGGGCTCATTTAAGTGTGTTTGGGAGAGCATTTGGAGCAGATGTGACATGGGCAAAGGCCTGGAGTCAGAGTTATGTAGAACTTTAGAGAAACAGAAAGGCCTGTACCTACTGTCTTAGTCACTTTTCTGTCCCTAAGACACCATACCCAACACCTGCAATTTAAAGGAGGAGAGGATTATTTTGGCTCACAGGTTGAGAAGTTTCAGTCCATGGATGGCAGGCTACAAAGCAGAAACTGCATGGTGGAACAGGCTGATGCAGAGGAAAGCTGCTTACATTATGGTGGCCAACAAGCACAGAGAGAAGGGAGGAGACAGGGAGGGAGATACAGTATGCTCTTCCAGGCCATGCCCCCAGTGACCCACCTCTTCTGACAGACTCCATCTCCTTTATTTAAAAAATTTTATTAGTATATATTTGCCAGACTTCCAGAAAGATCAGGTGGAGTGGTGAACAGCAGAGAAACATCCCCTCCATTTGGTGTCCAGACACTGGAATATAGTAATGTAAGGAAGACAAGAAGGAGAAAAGTGGGTCCTTGGGACCCAGCAAGTGTCTGAAGCAAGAATTGAAGCTCATGGGGAGAGCAAAGAGAGAAACGTCATGGTGGCAAGTGGTACTTTCTCCTTGAGCCCTGACTTACTGTATGGGAGGGCTCAAACCTGCAGATGCACAGTGACTACTGGTGGCCCCAGAGGTCTCCAGGGAGAAATTACCAGTGCAACAGAGTAGTGGCCCAATGGACTGCAGTGGCTGGTGAGTTATTTGGGTTCAGACATCCACCAGGAGAGGGCAATTGTCTGGTAGCCATCATGGAGAGAGGCCAACTGAGCTCGGAACTCAGAGCAGTTGTGGGCTGGCTCCATCTAGCAGCTCCCAGTGTCAGGGTGAGGCAGAACTGAGTTCAAGTTGGCAAAAAGTCAAGGAGCTGAGTTCAAGCTGGCAGGAGGCACAGAGTGTTGCAGTCTGAACAAATTTGGTTCCGGGCTCACAGCCAGAAACCAGCTTGAAGTTCAGTGGAACTAAAGGTGCAGGCTTGCTGAGATTATCCACTACCCTGCTGTAAATCTATGGATGGCTTGCTGGGATTAATAAACACAGATCTGGGCTCTATCTGCCCATTGTATCTACCAGTGACAGCAGGGACACACCCTGAAGTGGACATTTGTTTTTCTTGTTTTTTTAATTTATTTTTTCTTGTTTGTTCTTGTTTTTATATTGTTTCTAGTTATTTGTTGTTATTGCTCTGTTCTGTTCTTGTTTTTACTTTTTCCTTCTTTCTTTCCCTCCTATCATCTGCACCAGTTTCCCAAAGTTCGTATAATCTTCCTTTGTCCTCCAGCCTTGCTTTTAATCTCTTCCTCTTCTATTTCTCTATTTTCCCCCTTAACCCCTTTTAAAGTTTCTTCCCTGAGGGTAAAATCAATCACTATTTTCTAGTTCATTTTAGGTTTTGTTATACAAGCACGAATAGTTCATACAGTTAAAGGTGGCAAATTAATAGTTCCCACTGTTTGTCATTTTCTAGGCTGTGTTCGATGCTATTGAACACAATGAAAACAATCCTAAAAGGGAAATTTCTAGCAGTGAATTCCCACATCAGAACAACAGAGTAAACAAGTAAACAACCTAATGTTAAACCTCAAGTTTCTAGGAAAAAAAGAGCAAGTCAAGCCCAAAGCTTGTATGAGGGAAGAAATTATAAAGATCAGAACAGAAATTAATGCAATTGAGGCTAAGAAAATAATACAAAGAATCAATGCATCAAAGAGTTTGTTCTTTGAAAGATTAAATAAAATTGGCAAACCCTTAGCCAACCTTAATACCTACTTCACATCAAGGATGGGCTCATCAGGGATAATGGTTTTTCTTTTACAGAAAACATGACTTCTTTTCTTCCAAATTGATTTTCAATTTGCATTTTGTTCTAGAAAATGGTCTCTCTTCTCTTTTAACATAATTTATTAAAAATCATTTAGAACTGCTTTGAACCCTTCCAATTTTGCAGTTTCATGATTACCCTCCAAAACGTTGTGCTATCTTTGTGCAGAATTCATTAAAAAGTGTTCAGCATTTCTATGTAAGTGCTTTGATATGTACTAAAAATGTCACTTGAGTTTCCTTTTTCCAGTTGAACATCCTTGTCTTTGTTACAGTGGAGCCATTCTTCAAATAGAGAGCCAGCTCCCATCAGATTGCTCTGGGTCTGCATTTGAGCATGGAAGTTAGAATTGTCTTTTCCTAAATGCAGTGGATTCTCTACTGAATGTTTACCCAGTCTCAATCACTGAACTGCTCTGCATACTTAATGAACTGGATATATTTGGAAGCTCTTGTAAAGTCAAAGCTTGGTTTTAGATCCATCTCCAAAATATTCTCCCCAACCTTTTTTCATATGGAAGAGGTGGCTCATCACAATGTTTAGTTATGGCCTTTCTAGAATCATGGTCCTTAAGTGGACACACAAACCTCTTGTTTGGATCAGTGTCCATCTGGTTGGGATCCAAGATGTCCCTTTGAGAATCTTGTTGTTAGGGTCTTAAGTTTTCCCCTGTAGTGATCTTGAAAGGAGGACTTTTATGGGCTCTACTCCCTGAATGCCAGACTCACATCTACAAATGTCTTAGTCTCTTTCACGGCAGGCACTCTTCCCAGGATCTGAAGGAACTTCAGCAGGATGTGGTGGTGTTGGTGTTAAAGTATCCACATTTGAAAATTCTAGATCTCGAAGTGAGCAAAGCCATTGCACTGGCTCAGGCTGAGAAACCATGTCATGAAAGAACATACCTGGAATCTCATCACTTGAAGGACTATGGCCCAGGGATCTGGGCCAGGTCAGTGGATTCTCAGGTTCATTGGTATTAGAGGAACTTTCCAGATGATTCTTACATGAACTAGAGTCTGGACCAGAAATGAGTGGTTTTTCAAAATGATCTTCCTGAGTTTTGTATTTCTTTAAAATCTTCTGGCAGCAGATATTATCCTCAAGACTTTCTACTGGCATCACATTGTCCTTATATATCATGGAGTTCTTGCCCTGTAGGGGCTTGGTGGCCTCACAGCTCTCCTCTTCACCAGGTATTTCTTCTCCAGTCACATGCCTTGTACCCTCTGAATCCTCTGAACTGAGGGTAAACAAAGACCCCTCATCAGAATCGTAGTCACTTTCCATATCATACTGAGCATGAGAAGGGGCATCTTTCTGTGCTGGCCCCTTGGGAATGGCACTGAGGCCAATGTCCCATTTTGGCAGAAGGTCTGATGTGTCCATGTGTCCAGCATCACTGCATGTGACCACACTGCTGAAAACTGGCAACTCTCCTTCAGCACCAATCCCCAGGAGTTCTGGCTGCTGTGCACCCAGAAAGCTTGTGGAATGGTTTACTTGTATTCCCGTAGATATTTCCATCTGTGGGCCCAGAGTTTCCAAAGGTGACTGTTTAAGGCCCCCTACTTCCTTACTCTCTTTGGGCCTCAGTGTGTTTGTAAGTGTGAGTATTTGGGGGATGGAAGCTGTCATTTCTCTTGAGAGTGATGAGTCTAATTCATTCATATCATTACTGGCTGAGCCAGAAACAGTAGAGACAGTTTGTAATGTGCCATCTGCAGAAGAGATGCCCATTGAATGCTCACTGACAGAATATTCTGGGGCCACAGTTTCATAATCTAATTCCTCGAGAATATCATTCTTATATATGTGGTCCTGTGCTGCTAAACTTAGTTCATTATTATGAGCATTTGGATGTCTGTAGGGAGCAGAATGAGCTGCACTGCCATTTGGAAGCATGCTGTCATTTCTACTTCCTGCTGTCTGGTTGTCCCTGAGTTGTTCTGAGCTCTGCCAACTGCCAAGCTCCTTTCTGCCGCTTCCTGAATTTCTATCAGGAATGACAGTGGCGTATGGATTTGACTCTGGTGCCAAGAAAGGGTCCTGGTTCTCATAGAGGCCTGGATTTTGAGAAGCTCGGTGCAGATCCATCCCTGGGTACTGCATGCCCCCTGTAGCTTCAACTCCATTGGAGAAGCCCTCATTTGCATAGGCATTATCTGAGCCATGGCTTCTGTTCCTTTTGTTCCGGCATCTCAGCCACAGTTTGTCAACATAGGGCCTTGTGAAAGCCCCCAAGCAGAAAGCCACAATGAATGTGATGAACACCGACAGGCAGACAGCCAGAGCGAGGTCTTGGGGTCCGTCATCACTCCTGCCTGTGGCTTGCAGGTCTTGGACATTTCTGAACCCTCTCGGTAGCTGGCCCTGAACCTCCATGGCATCAGTGTCAGTGTGTGCCTCCTCCTGGGTGGAAAAGTGTATGTACATTCCTCCCTGGGGTCTCTCTGCTTTGGTCCTCATGAGGCTTTTCGTGTGGTTCAGAGTAATGCAAGGGAAGTGAGTCACCCTGGAAATTCTTCTTGTGGGAGTCTCCAGATATGCTTCCTTACTCCCTACAAGTGGGAGATAAAAATCACATAGTGAGTGGACAGAAAAAAGATTTCAGGGATTTTCAAAGCTGCAATAAGTCCTCAGTCCTTGTCTAACTATATTTTCAAGTATCTATTACATGGTGATAATCAGTGTTTATCCATCCAGCCATCTGTCCTTTTATTCTTGCCTAATGCCAATAGGATGTCTATGGCTCTGTGCACATTTACACATGGCTGTCTGGTGTCTTGATTGGCTCAGGATCTTTTCTGCCTGACTGCTGCTCATTGGAGGAAGGAGCCAGACTGGAGGGGCAGCCACATCACTTCCTCCTCCATACCTTTAACTATTCACATTTGCTAGAATATTCCAACCCTCCTTTTTCCCCAGTGCTGGTAAACAGTGAAAACATTCCCTTTCTCTTCTGGCTCCTGGTGTTCTGCCTTCCATACTCAGAGTGCCAGTTGCATAAAAACATGAAACAAGTGTGGCTGACAATGTTCAGACATCCTCTGCCCTTCCTGGATTTCTAAGCCTGGAAAGCATGGCATGAGTCTACTTTAATGGCAATCCTGAGTAGGACAGAGTCAGGACCCCCCTTTTTTAAAATCTTTTTTAAAACATAGTTGACAATGAGAATAAAGACCCAACTTCCCAGAATGTTTAACCTCAGTAACATTCTCATATGGTAGAGCATCAGGAACAAATAAAAAGAAAATAATACTTTTGAAAGGTGTTTGTTTTGTGTGTTTAGAGTATCACACTTTCAAGGGTTAAGCAAGCATTTAAGATAATGTTTCAAATTTTAAAAGTTATTTCTTTACTCAATTGTTAAGAATTGGGGTAAATTGTGTCCTTTGTGGGGTTCGGGGCAAAATTCTGTTCTAGTAAAATTTCTGGTTTTGACTAAATGTAATGATTCTGAGTGATATGAGCTAGGTTTCTTTGAACATGGGAAAGTCATTCATGAACTGAAGAAAACAATAAAGCTCCCATGACTATTCTGTGACATAGTCCCAGGCTGCTTAATGCCAGGGATCAACACTTGCTTTCAGAGGGAATGCCATTATTTCAAAAGAAATTAAATTTTTAATGTTCAGTTTTGAGTTCAAATGAAGCCATTTCAGAGGAGAGGGCTACAGATTTGTTGTAACTTATATCCCACTTTTCCCCCCAGGACTCAGAAATGAAACTTTGGAAGACTGCCAGTTGTCACACTGCAATCGGTTGTCAGACAAGTCAACTTCCAAATGGGGAAATTCTGGAACAATGATTATCATTGGTAGTGGTCAAAGCATTGTTGCTGAGGCTTACACCCTGTTTGAGAAAAAACAAATTTAGGATAGTTTGTAAACAAAGACACTTAGAGATCATATAAATAAGTTACAGAAAGATTTTGTTTATGTGTCTATGGAAATAGTCCTGGTTTGAAAGTCAGGCAATTGGATTTACATCTGCTCCACTCCTAAAACCTCTTTATGCCTTGGCAAATAGTTTACTTTCTGTTAGCCTACCTCCTAGGGTTGTTGTAAGTATCTATCTATCTATCTATCTATCTATCTATCTATCTATCTATCTATCTATGAGCTTTAAGCATGGTGTCTATATGTGTGACCACAAACACAATGAATGTTTAAATTTTTCAATATTATTACAGTAAAAGACACATTGCCATTAATCTACCTCAACACCTTCCAAACACTTCCCATTATTCTTGCCACTTTCTGAAGCAGTTCTGAGAGTTTTCTTTCATGAACGTCTTTAGTTGTGTTGTTGTGCCTGCCTCAATGTCCTGAGTCAATTCAAAACATTTATCTTTCATGGTCATTTTGACTTTGTGGAAGAGCCAGAAGTTGCACAGTGCCAGAATTGCTAAGTAAGGTGGATGAGGACACACTGTAATGTTTTTATTTGACAGAAATTGCCATACATGTATTTTTGGATCATATCTCATCTTAGATGCCTATTTTCCTTTCCTTTTTTCCTATGAGTTGTAATTTATACTGTTAAATAAAACCTAGACTCTCATGCATTCAAAGTCTAGAATTGGACACAGGTCTAGAATTGCTAGAAACACTGTGATTGTGAAAATTGCAGAAGATGATGATGAAGACAGAATAATTGTGGTTGACCAGAAGTAGCAAAGAGAGATCTTTTGGTTCAAATATTATTTTAATATTTGAATAGTGCATTTCTTTGCATCCATTGCTACTTAATACCTAATCAAGGGCTGGGGATTTAGCTCAGTGGTTTTGCTGCCTGCTGCGCAAGCGCAAGGACTGGAGTTTGATCCCCGGTACCAAAAAAACCCCACCTAATCAACTAGTCTAATTAGAAATGCAGGGGGAGACCAGGGACCAAAAAAAAGATACAGGGACCCTAGAGACACAGAGGAAGAACTGTTAAAGTTGGATATAACAGTGACATGGTACAGCAGGGAAAGCACAGTTAGGTGTACCTCGAGCTACTGTCTGTAGAACCCTGCCATGTACCCTGCTGGTATTTTGTATACACTCTCTTTAATCCTTCCAACAACCTTTAATTTTTTCCTTTTCTTTCTACAAACAAGAAAGCTGGGTTTAGCTACACAATACATCCCACATAGATGTTGTCTTAGTTACTTTTTCTTGTTGCTGAGACAAAATACCTGACACCCAAAGGTAAAGGAGGAGAAGTTTATTTAGTTCACAGTTTGTAGAAGTTTCACTCCATAATCAGCTGGCTCTAAGGCAGGGTGCATGGCAGACAGGCATCACAGAGGAGAAACGGTTCACGGCAGGGAGAAGGTAGCAAAGCAAGCAAGCAAACAAACTACAAGTAACTTGCAGTAACCCTCTGTATGTCCCTTATATTGTATCCAGGCTACCCACTGTTAGGGTAGTTAGACTCACACCCTTAATTCTAGCATCCTTAATCTTAGCATTGCACCATGAATCAATCATACACTTTAGATCCAGCTACCTCTGGAAAAGCCCCACCTATGATTGCATGGGACATTGGGAGGACAACTAAACACAAGCCATAACAGATGTTAACATGAGGCCTTGTATATAGCATGTATTCAGTAAAGAAGGAAAAATAAATAATGGAATGGCAAAGCTGTGATCTGGTCTGGCTTCAGAGATATGTGCTTTTATTATAGAACACACTCTATCCAAACCTGAGTTCCCGTCACACTAGAGTAAGGGGGGACTGTGCTGAGGAGGCCTGGAGCAGGAGACACCAGTGTGGAGCATGGAGTTTGTAGTAGGGTCATAGAAAAAGAGAAAATCATGAAACAGAATGTGAAAATCTAGCTTTGTAAAAAAGAAAACTGTGCCTGAAAACCATGGAGGCTAAATATGATCAAGGCAATTATTTTATAAACACCAGGAAAATCAGCATTTATATCTTGGGTTATATACATTCCTAAGAAGAGCTGATTGAAACAATCAAAAGGCACCACAAATGAGACCACTGGGAATAGAATCTGAAATTTTTTTATCAATTTAGGTAGTGAGAGTGAACTTTTCCTGAGGTGGGTAGACAAATAGTCTTGACTCTCAAAAGAAAGTTGCTGAAACTAAGAGGTCAGAGACAGACTTGGAAGAAAAACACTTGACTTTAGCCTGGTCTTGCCTAGGATCAATAGTTTTCTTAGGTATGCTCCTCTTTTCATCAACAGACTGAAATACTCTTCTGCTTTTCAAGTAGTTGCTGAGACAAAAACTTGACACTGAAAGTTAAAGGGGGAAAGGTTTATTTGGCTCATAGTTTTCAGAGGTTTCAGTCCATAATCAGTTGGCTCCAAGGCAGGGTGGCATGGCAGACAGGCATCACAGAGGACAAACAGTCCATGGCAGGCAGAAAGTAGCAAAGCAAGTAACCAAATAAACTACAAGTAGATTGCATCAAGCCTCTTTCTGTCCTTATATTGTATTTTCATTTTATAATTTTCATTTTATAATGTATTTTCATTTCACCCTAGCATTTTTTCCACCATTAAGTTTATTGGTACATTTTAGGTATAAAATACAGTTACATACATCATTGGGACCTTGTACCATTACATGAGTATCTTGGTTCTTATTTTTTCCCCTTCCCCTCCCCTCCCTTCACCCACTCCACCCTTCCCTATTTGCAAAGACTTTGTTTCCATTTTTTTCCTTTTCTCATATTTTTTCTTTTCCTTTCTTTCCTTTCCCCTACCCCTCCCACTTCTCCTGCTCCTTTAGACCTTCACTTCCTATTACACAATATCAATTATACATTT